CACACGATGCACATTCCACCTGGTAACATGTGTGCAGTCAGGTGCTTGTTCCATGTCTTGTAACGTGCAGGGCGGAGTGAGGTCAAACACCCTGGACGTACACCCACCCAACCCCACACATGTAAACAACCAAAGTGACTCCTTGCCTGACACATGGCTGACTCTTGCATTCAAGAGAGATTTAAGAGGCATGGAGAGTTACAATGGTGTTTGGTGGGTGGCGTTCCTGTTGCATAATCTGAGAATAGATGAGCACATTTTGTCCAAGATGACAGGTTTCATGTTCTTTGTATATGTAATGGTTTGAAAGAATGACCTAACCCTATATGAAGGAGGGTGTGCATTTAGTTTTGCAGGTGGGTTTGTGTCTCCAAACAAGAGAAGGTATTTTTAATGATACACATGTTTCAGGCAAGACAAGAAAATGCTGGGTCTCTCTCAACATCCCCATCTGGCTCTTCACTCTGTGTTTGCTGCCCCTTATTAAAGCCCAAAGGTCAAACACCTGCATGGGCTGGAGTTTGACCAGTGCCAAGCAGCACAGGCCTCAGACGGTTCAGGCTGATCTGACACAGGGCTGTGCTGCAGCTGGTTGATTCTCTTAGGCCTTATATTGTAAAGTGGTTCAAGCAGAAAACAACTGTGAACAAGAAAGTGCTATAGGTTTTTTACTAGAATTACAATGCAAATTTTAATTTGGTAAATTTCAATTCTTTTTAAAATATTGAATCTAAACTAAATGTTACTTTTACTGTGCAGATTATTTTCTTCTGTTGCCTGGTGGTTAATGGAAGGACTCACACATAGTTGAGTACAGTTACAGGAAATCAAAAATAGCATCCTGTTACCTCATCCATTGACAGTAGTGCTCTGTTTTTTACAGGAAGAGGATTTTGAGCACATGATTAACTTAGCTGAAACCATGGAGAACCAGCACGGTCACCTGTTCGACAAAGTGATTGTTAACGGAGATATCACTGTGGCGTTCAGGGAGCTGAAGGCAGACCTGCAGAAGATTGAGGAGACAGAGGTCCAGTGGGTTCCTGCTGAGTGGATCTGCTCCTCGCCAACAACAGCACGGAGAAGTTGTGGTCATTTGACCGGCTGGATTTGAACTTTAAGCTTTTTAAACACATAAGATACTAAGATGAATTTTCTTCTTGTTAAATGATGCGTTTGACTTTGTTTTTGACAAAACTTTGCTTGGATGAGGAATATGCCAACCATGTTTTTTCATCCCGTAGGATAGGCAAAAAATGATCAAATTAATTTGAGTATGAGTTCAACACCTTGGATGATGAACCTTGGGTTACAGATTTTTTTTCAAATATTTTTTTCCATTTGTAAACAACTCCTCTGATTACCACAGTTTTCCACAGTGTCCCTGAGCGTGTATCTAATTAGGCAAACAGAATCCATCTCCCTCTCCCTCCGTCTGTCTCGGAGCCAGTTTTTCTGTTGGCATTTGGCTAAAATAACGTCGGCTCGCAAGACGAAGAAGAAGAAGAAGAAGAAAGAAAAGGAAAAGGAAACTCTCCAGAGCTTGTGGCTGAGTGTAATCTTCTCTGCCAAGTCGCAAACATCAGCATGTAATTATTCTGACAGCTGCTGCACTTCAATTAACTGTAATGTACACCAGAGAAATATTATTAGTAACAGTCAGTGAGACCTTTTTGCCAACAATGTGCTGTAGAAAATAGAGACACAAACAAGATAACAGTCAATTAAAAAGCAAAGACAAAGCAGGCGTGGAGTGGAAATGGTAGAATTGTGTACATCATTTAAAGATGAAGACTATTAAAGTTAAAATCATTGTTGTATATTTTAAAGACTTGAAATTGTGTATTTTTAACTACACTGTAAAATCATTGTCATGGTATATTAATCTTGAAACTGTATTTTTTTAAACAAAACATATTGAGACAATTAAAAATAATTGGTTGCAATTTGGCGTTAGTGACACTCCAATTCTCTTTTTTTGAGCATCGCAGCTGCTTGTCGGGTGCAAATTCTACTGTTCTCCTTCACAGAAGCTGCCCCATCTAATTCCTTTTAATGGCCGCATTCCTTCACATTCACTGTGTTTCCTTCCTCTTTTTGGTCTCTGTGCTCAATTGGGTGTGAAGGAGTGTTAATGTGTCTATCAAGTTGTGTTTGGGAGGAAGAGGGAGCAGCGTGATGTGGAGAGACAGTAATGGCTTTCAAGGGAGCGGGGCTTTCGCAGACGTGCGTAGAGAAAGTTATGACCGCACTGAGCTCACTGTAAAAGCAAACTGAGGCTGGACATAGTGGATTAGACGGCAGGGACAAAGAGCACACCATCGAGCCTCAGGTGTTTATTTTACTTTCACAGGCCTGTTGTCAGCGTCAAACACATCTGGGTAAACAAGGAAGACAGGGACAGAAATGGAGCATTGGGTTGGAGATGCTCTGATTGGTGCATCCGTATGTCTCCTGGACACCGAAAACCTACAAACCAGGCTGTCATGACAACAGTCACCCTTCTGCCAGGCCTGAAGACCGACCTCAGCCAAAGCGTGGCAGTGTAATTTCATCTCACGGCTGAGAATCTGCAGGCACCCTCTGAGATCATAACGATGCCATTAAAGACACCAGAGTGATCCAATGAAAACTCGCTATTTTATGTTCACTGCAGCCCCCACCTCAAACATTGCACAGAGGTATGATGTCAATTAGTCCTGGATAATTTGGCTCAATCATGTATCTGTCTATTGGAAGCATGTACAAATAAATACGACTGACATTCAACAATATCTTCATCTTTGTGTGAAATAGTTCAGAACTTTTAGTCAACTGACACGTTAAAGTGCATGATGGAAATATACGTTTGATCACTCAAACCTGCAGCAGAGTTGGAAGCAAAAAGATTTTTCAGTTCATTACAGAAAACTTAACTTAAAATTCCTCTTTCAAATGAAAATTTTGAACATAAACTGCATCTTTGCTGAGTTCAAACCACTCCGGGATTCTGTCGCTACAATGTGAAGTGGCCAACTGGTTGGGGATCCACTTAAATGGAGCCCCAAAATTCCAGTCCACCATGCTGGGGTGGTGTCGTATATCACCAAGATCATATGAGGTATGAAAAGAAAATTATAATGGGTAACATTAGCAAACTTGAGATGTTTAAGGCTGTGTCCCTATTTCGGGGAAACATCCTTCGGAGGCTGAAATGAGATAATCTTTTCTACGAATGATTTTCTATATCTGTCACCAGCTGGTCCCCCACTCTGTATCGTGTGCTACTTGAACTTACTGCCACCTGCATAGCTAGCCTGTTAGCTCAGTCACCGTTGCGCAATGAATCCTGGAATAGGTTGGCCTGAGAAAGATCCACATGTTGGATCCTTCTTGGCTCAGGAATGGAAGGACGCATTTGTCATTACAATTCATGAAATATCTAAATATGGCTGTACTGCTTCAGGATATTTAAATCAATTTCTCCAAAACACTTGGATGTAAAGTCCTTTGGGCACACACACACACACACACAAACACATACACACAAAAACACGTGTTCCAAACTATCAAAACAAAAAGAGATATATCTCCATCCTCTGCATTTTTTCAAGGTCTCCTGGACGAGGAACTAAGGTGCGTTCCCAGCTAACATCAACAGTTGAGTCGGCAAACATATCACAGAGGGACCGGAGTAAATGGTGTGTACGAGCATGTAGCCTTCTCTGACCGCCGCTGAGGAATGTGGGCGAGGATTTTACTGCACCTAACGGGGATGCTTCTGGTCCATGTGTTTTTCAGCTTTGAAACCATTGAAACCCCCCCCCCACTGATACTGCTGAATTATGAACACGGACGAGGGCCATGAAGTCCTCCAATATGTTAAACAAGTGCTGCTCAGGTTTTGGCCAGAAGCTCTACGCAGAGAAAAAATGTTTTATGACAAATGTTTGCTTAAAGATTATTAAGTTAAGATTGTGCATGGCGAAGTCATCACTGTATATCCAAACAGTCTTACATAAGAGTGTTTAGATGTCAGGAGGAAAAACATGAGTGGATGACAACTAAAGCTGAACCATCCAGTCTGGACTCACCGCCAACATGTTGTCATCTAGTTAAGGCTAAGCTTCTGTCAGACTTAGTTTTCTTAACTGCTCATAGTATCCAAAATGGAGACCCACATTGATAAGCATTTCTGTTAGATTACCCCTGTTCACACAACAAACAACATTTTTGACACTCCAATGTACATGCTAACACACTTACAGGCCCACAAATCTGTGGATTACACATGCAACACCGGCTGAGGATTATCCAGGCAAAGATCAATTCCATTTTCCAGCATTTATGTTGTTTTTTTATTAGTAACCAGTGTGTACTCAGCAGGATTCACTGCCTTACATGGGGCACAGTTTGGTGGTTTTGCTGGTTATTTGCAACCGTGCAATTACACCCATAAATTTCCAGAATCCCCCTGGTGAAACATGCCTTATTATTTGCTGACACGATCTTTGAGGAAAACCACAAGATCCACGAGAATCACATGCCTCATGTAGAAAATATGAGAGCACGTCGAGCTGCTCATCGCGGGCTGCTCGACACCGCACTGCATCTCACTTGTAAATCTAAAAGACCACATTAGCTGATATTCTTACACGTGCAGTATTTTTCATATTGTGGGGTGCTGCCACTGCTGCTCTGCAAGCTGCTCCTCACAGAGATCCAAGTGATTGGACGCAGGGAGAGCCAATAGGCAGCCGAGCAGCAGGTTATTTGAACTCTCCTCACACAGCTCAGCTAAAGCAGACTTTTCTAACATTGTTCACTCATCAGAGTCTGTCATCATCAACTTTCTTCCCAGGCGCAGCTCTCCGCGGCCACAGAAAGAACAGCAAGGGACATATTTTTTTAACCTTTTTTAAAATGACTTCTACACTGAGTGCATGAAGAATGGGAACTTACAGCTTACGTTTACATCTGGAAGTCTACTGATGCACCTGTTGATCGAGGAAAACTCAAGAATGGACAAAGTTGCCGTGATGAAGTCTGACACTTTGCTCTGTTTGGAGGACAACAGGCGAGCAGAGGACAGGAGCAGGTTGAACTGTGTAGAATTACCTCAGAGCAATTTCACAGACGGACAGAACACAGACCTGCTGCAATGTCAGGACGACACTCAAAACAGCTCTACTGTCAAATACGGAAGATGTGGGTAAGGAGTTAAATAAGTTAGTATGATATAATAACGTCATGAAGATGAAGAGGATTCGCTAACTTGCCATTATGTTGCTAAAATTTTATTTTTGCTCTAACTAAACCGATTCCCTTAGATATTTACTATAATACATCAAGTGCGTGATATTGTGCAAATGTATTTTTATATGTAGAATGTATTTATTTACTCTTATAGGAGGGGTAAGTGTTAAATAGAGGGGGTTTTTTTTAAGGTGAATTTAGTGAATCCATTCAGTGATTCCTGACTCCTCCAGGTCTCGTCTGGGTGGGGTCAAAGTTCGCCACAAGAGACAGGTGCTGCAGGACATGGCCCGACCCCTGAAACATTGGCTGTACAAACACAGAGACAACCCTTATCCCACCAAAACCGAGAAGGTGCTGCTGGCTCTGGGCTCACACATGACACTCGTACAGGTGAGACGAGCTCATGCAAAATAACATAAAAAGAAGAAATGGAGGATTTAAGGCAGATGATTGTTGGGGCCAGTTTTCCTGTAACAAGATGCTTTTGTGCAGGTTTCCAACTGGTTTGCAAATGCCCGGCGAAGGCTGAAAAACACAGTGAGACAGCCAGACCTGAGCTGGGCCCTGAGGATCAAACTTTATAATAAGTACATCCAGGGAAACGCTGAGCGGTTGAGCGTGTGCAGTGACGACACCGACTCAGATGGTGAGAGCTATAGATCTAAAACTTGTGCCACTGAAACAAGCAGAACAGTTTGTTACATCTCATATCTCAAGAATACTGTGTTTCCTTTGCTGCAGATGAAGAGTGTCCCTTACAAACTCCCATCAGCCAGTCAAACTATGGCCGGTCGTCCTCTCACAAGAGCGTGCTTGAGAAACAGGGCAGCGTCCTCGCCATGGCTGACTCCGTCAACAGTGACGACAGCACGTCGCCCCCATCCAAATACAAGAGCGGTTTACTGAACCGCTATCTAAACGACACCCTGCGGCACATGATGGCAGCGAAAGCTGATGGCGTCACCACCTCCCGTAAGAGGAGGAGTCACTCCGAATCGTTCAGCTCCAACGAATGTGATCGAGATGTCGTGTCTCCGGCGTCGTCCTACGAGACCGAGACAAACTTCGTCTACCACATGGGTGAGAGAAATAACAGTTTTAATCCTGCAGTGGAAATAGATGTGCAGTCAATATGTGTAAAAACTTATTACTGTATGTGTGGCATCATATTATGATAGCCCAACATTATCATGAAAAGTTAAGCAATCAAATACACCACAGATGCTGAATTAATAATAAATTAAAGCTATAATCCCCTCTTCCTTCATAATAGCAGATCTATAGTAAATGTGATGAAAATTTGTCATTTCCCTGCTTCACCTTAGTTAATTTTCAACACACCACAGAGTCCAGTAAAATAAGAGGAGTAGAACAGAACAGAAATGTGCACATGGCTCCTCACAGCTCACTGACATTAATAAGTGTTAGGCATTCCAACCACAGTCAGAAGCTTAACGAGATTCAATTATAAAGTTACAGTGAAACTGGGAAGGAGTTTGACACCCGGGTGCCCTTTCAGACCTCTAGGGACCCCGGCACACCAGCAACCCGAAAATCTGCCGAAGTACCTGCAGCTGAAGCCTCTGCAAACATCACTAATAAAAACTTGTGCAGATGCTGAAATCGCTCATTTTAAAATTGGATGGAGTTTGCCTGGCTGCCGCTACGCACCACAAATATCATTTCCATACACTAGAATGTGCCATTTGTTCCGCCTCAGCTTCTTGCCATGGTGGAAATGTCCAGTTCAGTCTCAAGGACAATTACACAATGTCTGAGACTTTATTCTTCCCAGGGTGAGGGGTGGAAACCTCAGCCAACATGTAGAAATGGAGCAGTTTGTCAGTAAAGCAGTGAAGACGTCTCGTGGAGCGACTGTCAGAGCTGCTGCTCACCTGTGAGAGAACACTTGGCTTTTCCCAACAGTGTGTGAGGGTGTGGCTCGGTTTCCTTGACTCATGAACACTTTGGCAGCCTCTCCGCCCCAAGTGTCACTTCCCAACTCAAAATAAATCTAAATTTAAATCTACATTATGGGAGCATTTGAAACCATTTCTTTTATTTAGCACATCTCATAGTTTCACTCACAAATTAAACCAGACATGTTTAAAGTTCCTTTTTTGTCCTGGCAAAAACAGTCCCACTCTAAAGCAGGTTATTTAATGGATATTTTTATAGTCCGTGACAAGGCTTCATCTGTATCCGGGAAACACAGATTAACCTCAAACTGGCCCCCACCTTGAATAACTCGAGGATAATTCATAAACTAAAGAGGCAAGTGCATTTACAGGAATAGAGAACTTGTGAAATACAATATCATGCATGTTTCTTTAACTTAACAAATACATCATGTTTTTATATTTATAATAAAATAATAATAAAGCATTTAAAGGGTATTTATAAGAATTTAACACTAGTAATACACAGATTCTCATTTACCTCATTAATTATAAGCAGTGATGAGACACTCATGTACGTGCACTAAATATGAAGGTAGCAGCCTCTTGTCTGAGCACAAAGTCTGAAAACAGGTTAAACTAGCCTTGCATTGTTTAGTGGTGACAAAATCCATCTACCAGCACCCATAAACCTGGATAATCAACATATGTCATCCAATATTAAAAACGTAGGTGTAAAAATTAGCCTACAGTCTCACAAGAGGTTATGCACTTGTCAGCTATTTCTTGGCCATGACCTTGTAAAGATGGATGCCAATACACATGCTCAACCAATTGTGGGTCTCAGCTGTCTATCATGACATTTCACTTCATTTTCAATCAAATCAAATAAGTAATTAAAACAAACATTAAACTGATATGAGCTGCCTAAAGTGACATCATTGAGAAACATTTATTTGACATGTATTTTTTATTATTTAGTTTGGTCCATGTCCCATCCACAAATATGAAGGTGGGATTAATGACCTATATTACAGCAAGCCACCAGGTGGCGTTAAAGACGCTTTGGCTTCACTTTCTGGGAGCTGCCATGTCCTCTTTTGCTAAATATGAAGCTAGACGCCCGTTAGCTCAGTACAAAGATTGAAAACAACGTTCAAGTATTTTACCACAGGTGATAAAATCCAGCATCAACAAACCTTAAAGGTCCAGTGTGTAAGATTTAGGTGAAAGGGAACTATTGGCAAAGATTTAATGTAGAATAATCCTCATGATGTTTTCACTAGTTCATTTCATCTAAATTATATGAATTGTAGTTTTCTTACCCCAGAAAAGGCCCTTTATATTTAAATACTTTAAATTTACATTGAGGGGGTTCTCTCTACGGAGGCCGCCATGTTTTTTACATTAGTCCAGACTAGACAAACTAAACACATTTTAGGTTCTTTTTCATGTTTGGAAGGGGAGGATGAGGTGAGGGGTATTCAGCTGCAACATACAAGCTCAACACTAGATGTCACTAAATTCTACACACTGTACCTTTAAGTCTAAGTGTAAATTGTGAAATTACAAGTCCAGTTATTTCATGGCCAGGAGCAACAACTTAGTCTTGATAGTCTACACACAAAAATGAAGAAGTGATATTTTATTTAGTTTTTTAAAAGTCATTTGGAAATTGGAAATATAAAATGACAAGTCGTGGTTTTACTTTGGAAATTTCCAGCATTTGTGCTGAACTAAGATGATGCTGCATTTGCTTCATATTAGCTGCACAGACATAAGAGTGGTATCACTTTTCTCATCTAACTCTCAACAAGAAAGCAAAGAAAATGTCAACAACTATTCCTTCAAACATTGAATTCATCTTTTAGTCTTTTTGTATTTGAGAGGTTCTCGTTGGCATCTGTGCTGTAGACATGTTTGTGTAAAGCTTTAATGAATCCCTGCTGGCCATGATGAGGGTGTTTGCGGCACCTCTGTGAGGTGACGTAGAAAGTCGTCGTGCCAGATCCATTACAGGCACCGACACCATTAACACATGTATACTTCGTCTGGGAGACAGCTAAGGCGACAGCTAAACCTCAAGATGGACGAGTGAGTGATGCCACGACACTGTGTCGTACAAGGACACTTTAAACATATTAATGTGAAGTCAGAGGGAACAGTGTGTGTAAGTGCTGTTATTACTGTACAGGAATGTGAGTATGTTTGCACCGTATAATGTGGTACTCACATCAAGTTGAGTATTTCCCTTAAAAAGGCTGGAGAGCCATAAATGTGACTAGAATCATGTTTTATTAGAGGCAGAGTGGCAAAAATATATCTGGAGGAACGCCTCGCTGCGCTTTCCACCCATTTAGTTTCAAATGAAAACGTGCATGCTGAGAGGGGAGTCTCTACTTATCCGCAGTACAAGAAAAACAGTTACATTATTTTTTCAGTGCCCAGTTGTTTTCCTGTGTGGATCCCAGTGACACACCTGTGAAAATGACTGAAGGTCATTGACTTTGGGGCACGAGGGGATTTGAACTCGTATAGAAGGAGAACACCCAAGACCTAAATCAGCTCATTCACATTATATCATTGAGGATTTATTGCAGCAATAGAAAGTTAAATGCTGTCATGTAAACAAAAAGCTTTTTTTTACAAATTTAAATATATTTATTGACTCTCATACTGTGGGTTGGATGAGACGATCAATACCTCTTTCATAACCGTGAGCCGGAGCCAGGATAACGAAGCTGGGAATAGGCTCGGCCAGCTCAGTCCAAAGGCGAAATTTATAAATCTACCAGCAAAACTTAAGTTAAATAATTACCATGGCTGGTTGTTTTTACAACAACAAAATGCTGGAAAAAGTTAATATATGTTAAAATAACCTTTTAAGTTTTAGTTGATGAAACCTAATTCCTTAGTGTGTCACCGATTAAAGTAATTTTTATGAAGTTGGTAATTAATTTAAATTTTTCCTGTTCGTGTAATGACCCTTAAACTGGAACTTGTTCCTACAATTTGGTTTTTATAGGGAATAACCTCAAGAAATAAAATTTTTGTTATTATTAGTAAGCTTTTGAGGTGCTAAAAGGCAAATGCCTTTACCTTTAGACAGAAACCAACCAAGCTTTTCCTTGTTTCCAGTCCTTGTTGTTTACCCAAGCTAACCCGCTTCAACCTATAGCAACACATTTACTGTAAAAACGTTTAATCATACATTTATTTCTTAAAATGTTCCTTATTTACTTATTTGATAAATATAATTAGATGTAAACTTTAACATGAAATTACAGTACACTGCTCTTGTGCGGCACAATGTTATATATATATTTAAAAAGAGACTGAGCAACTTCATTACTGCTCGTAAAAACTTTGTAAGTGATCCCTGCTGTAAATCTGAAACTCACCAGAGGTAAAACAATGTTTTTTTAGGGTAATAAATACAACAGAGGCACAGAAGCACGTTCTTGGCAAAGCATGTTATGGCTGAGGAGAGAAATGTGTGGGGACAATCAGAAGCAAAAAAAGCATAAAACTGCAAAATGATTTACTATCAACAAGTAGTTGCTGTTGGCCTCAGGCTGGCTGAAGAAATCAGAGCAGGACCGTTTGAGCCGTAAGCATTGAAAGACTTGTTTTCACAAAGGGCCTCTAATTTCTCTGTCTATTGCTCTCTGAGGAAAAAAAATGGTTTTGACCAGCTTCTATCTGCTCCATGGAAAAAAAGGCAATAGTACAAAACTGGAATGGAAAATATTAGCTTTGTACAATGCACACTTGTGCAAGGACCGCAAACAGATATTGTGCAAGCAATATACGCCACAGTCATTTTTAGCCTAAATAGCCAGAGATACTGTGGTTTGATTTCTGATTATTGTGAGCAATATCTTCCACGGATGAAGTGAGCTTCTCCCGTGCCCATTAGTATGATTTAATCTAGTGCTCGGAAAAGAAATGACACACTATAGACCAACTTTTACAGGTGCTAGCAGGATTTTTGCAGCCTGAAAACAGAGCGTCTTTCATCAATGCAAGATGCGGATATCAGAGTTTTTTTCCCCTCAAAGAGAAACACCACATTGCATTTGTTTTGGCCCGAGCAGCTCAGCTCAGAGAGACTGGTGCACTTCACCGAGTCAAACCGTCTTGGTGCCGTGATCGCACCCAAAGGAGAAGTAACTGTGAACACAAATGTGCTAATATTCAGAGATGCATAAGAACACAATCAATCCATGCATCTGCACATCCACCATGAAAACAAACACAAATCCTCACACATGCTGTAAATCAAAACCATTCACACATTAATATAAACCGCCATCATACAGAAGCCTCATCCAAACACTGATTGACCTGCAAAATTTCAATGATATCAAGTATCTTAAATTCATGGCATCCTCACTTGTGTGTTTTTCTTCTCTGTCACAGATACTATGGACTACACTCCAACCAACTGTGACAGGTACGTATAATTATTCTCTATCCACAATCAAAATCAGCTTTTTGCACTTTTCAACTTGAAAACTAACACTTATAATCTCACTTGGCCGTTGTTCCTAAATATTTAACTGCTACGTCTAAGTCTTTCATATTATTCTGGCTTTTAATCAAGAGGAGAGATCCAAGCAAAAATGGACCATTGCATTTCTAAAACCGCTCCAGCTGTTTTTTTTTCCAGGTTAACTCAGGCAAGAGGTGAGGTGATGTTCCACTTCATGCAGCTGTTTCTCTAATATTTTCACAGGGACCAGCAGCAGGAGCGCGGCCAGCAGAGACGAGACGTCCAAGGCTGGAGGGAGATCCACGCCGCTGTGGCTCTGACCAACTTGGCCCAAGGGCAGAGCCACGCGGGCGACAGAGGCAGTGTTACCGTGCCAATCGCTGCCAAAGGGCAGAGCTGCACCCGAGATCCCTTCTCTATAGCAAGAACAGCTATCATAGACAGGACATGTGTTGCAGGAGCCACCTCTACTCTGAGGCAGAGCTGCACCACAGGGCCCATTCTCACCAGCCGCATAATCCAGAAGTCCTCTCATATCGCGGAGGTCCAGACTGTCAAAATGACCCTGGCAAACAGCGTGTAGGCATTAAACGTCAGTGCCTGGTCCAAAGACATTGCTCCATATAGGAATACCAGATGCTTAAGTGCCTTGGAATAAATGTACAACCCCTGTTATTTTGTACAGCTAATAAACTTTTACATTTCCAATATTTTTTACATTGTACAAAAAAAAAAACTAACAGTTGGATATTTTTGCTGTGTTCCTAATGCCCTCCTATTGGCCCCTGTTGCAGTAAGTTATATTAACTTCAATGAGACTGGATTATCCTCCAATGCTTAATTTTGACAGCAGCTATTTGAATAAACCCAATGTGAAATCTCTTGACCAGTCGTTTTGCTTTCAATCACTGCTCTGCAGTGGCTCAAGCAGCAGTTATGTTTTACTGAGCTGTATTTAGTGGTAGTTTTCATTTGTAATTGTGGGTCTCAGAGTTTCAATATATCCCTTTAAATTCCTTTTTAAAAGGTTGTAATATGAGTGTGGCATAGTGGACTGAGCAGGGAGGCAGGTTTAAAGAAAAGAGCACAATGGACAAGGCTAAAAACACAGTGAACCTCTAAAATCAATAGATTTATATTAATTACAAATCTTATGGCTGTGTTTACTGTTAAAGGAATCACTTGCAGAGATGGACTCGAAAATCACTGTAATCTGCTATAGAAATCACTGTAGGTTAACTAGTCCCAAACAACAGGAACATTTTGCAAATTACTACAGCAGATATAATCTAGATTTTAATATAATCAATTGATCAATTAGAGTAGGAATAATAATAACTTGCATTTATAGCGCCTTTCAAGAGACCAAAGGACGCTTTACATATCATTAACTGCATTACATAGACTGTGGTGTAACAGGGGTCGCTCATAGTGGAGAAAATAATAATAATCAAATTATTGCCTCAGCTCTATTTAGCTTCAAAGCATATACTTTGACTGTAAATAAAGATGGACGGCACATCTCCACCTGCTCCCACTTAAAATAAAGAAATCAAAGCTGAAATATTCTGGAGCCACAGTCTCTGTGGTGGTGATCGTGGAGTGGAGCATGTATGTGCCTTTTTTTTACAACATCAAATAATTCACTGAAGTCAGATATTGAGGCATTGACCAAACTGAATAGTCTAAAAGCAGTTTTAGAAAAAAAAATCTCAAAGATGGTTTCTGTCATTATAGGTTGTTTGTTCACGTCTCTATTTTATAACGGTAAGTCTGGTTTGAATGATTCATTTGATGCTGTTAAAAAAAAAGGGGCAACGTCATGATGGACAGCAGAGACTGACTCATGGTTTGCCAACGACATGTATCACTGTGACCTCGATACCGCGGCTGCACACCACGATCACTGCTGCGCACTCTGGCTCAAAATGAGGTCAAGGATATTTTAGCTACGTGAGCAAATGGAGACAGGTGGATGATACGGTCTATGCCTCTGGTACGGCACTTACTGACCATTTCTTTTTCAGGCAACAAAAAACCCACCGCCACCTACCCAGCACCAAATAACAGACATTTAGCAACTGGCTTGTGAACATAGTGGAACATTTAGCTTAAGAGACATAGAGAAACACATGGACAGATATATTAAAACATCTGCAAATGAATGCTCATCCAGCAGACATGATGTGACACATCATGTCATGTGACACACCATGTCTGCTGGATGTTTAAATATTTAACTGTTTGCTAATAAAACCATCATATCAACTTATTATATATAATATTAGTGACATTGTCGTTCCACTCACTAAAAGAGCATCATTCTGAAGAGTGAAACAACTCTTTTGTTTCTTTTAATGACAAATACTCTCTCAGGAATCCTCTGACCTCATTACAGGGTCAACTGCCAAAAACTTCAAATACTGGAAACATCGAGGACATACTGAGCCTCAGAAGAATGTCTGGTGCACTCTCCCTCAGCGGAGAGAGATTTGCGGGGAGCGTCCTGTTCCATCTTGGGACATCCTGACACCAAACATAAGCTTGTAATCACACTGCCCGCTGGGACCATTTTACAAAACATGATTAACAGGATTTTTCCACTCGTGTCCTGGCTTTGGTCTATTTTTCTGACATTTCCTGCGAAGGATGTTTTCATCCTCGCATGTATGACAAGGCTAGTCATCAACAAAGTATCATGGAAAGAGCACCTCAATCCTGTTTCCACTGCAAACCTGCTTTTGATTAGGCTGGCGTCTACGCAATACAGAACTAATTGGCAGATCTCAAACGGCAATTAAACAATCGTTAGTCTTGAGTGACGGCATCTCTGGGCTGTCGTTTATTTCATTTTGAAACGATACAAACGTTATGACCATAACTGTAGTGAATATCATTCAACGTTAAGGCAGATATCAGTTTAACATATTGCTGCTTATGATTCAAACAGATGCAGTGATGGGGTAAAAGACGGGGAAAGGGTCAATTAAGAGAAAATAGGTCAAACAAATAGGAAAGAACACAACAAATATATACCACGGACAGGAAAACAACAAAGCTCTCAGGAATGCTCATACAGCAATGTTTGAGAAATGCCTTCAGCAAGTCAGTGGGACATTTTATGGACCACAACACACAAAATGAATGCAGAAAAACTTACAGAACCAGTTTGAGACCAAATACCTACAGGCAGAATAACAGTGAGCTCAAATGATTGAATTGAGAGAGCTCTAAATACTGTTAACCTCGCACAGCTCTGGAGGTTACGGTCTACATCAGCCACGCAAAGACAAATAACACGACGACAGGTTTGGTTGCAGAAAGTCCGAGATAAAGATGATTATTTGTTTTGCATATTTTAAAGTTGAAAACATTTGATTTGAAAGCATCTACTTTATTTCAGCATTTAGGGAATTTACATTTAACGAATAATAATTTGAGTAAAATTAAAAAACTGGAGTCTGTAACAGTGATCCATTGTGAGATACCATCTTTGGAATCATTCAGTTTCCTGACGAGAGATGGAGGCTGAAGTTTCCTCCACTACCATCTTCAGTCAAAGTGATGTAATATGTTTCTAATAAAGCTTGTTAATATATTGCGTGTGACTTGAGAACGTTTTGTATTGTGCGGTGACATATAGTGCACATTTGCAAACACATAGCGTAAGCAGGATGAGCAGTTTCCTGGAGGTAAATGAGATCTCTCAGACTTCCATATTGATTATATTAGGTCATTTTGAATTAAATTTGACAGGCTATACACCGTGAGAGACAAATTAGTTCATGTTAAAGGCACTACCCTATTAACTTGATGCCTTAATGTACAACAGAATCACTGCTGCCTATGAGATCAATTCTAACCAGACATGTACTGGTGACATACGTACACTTGGCATGGTGGAGTTCATCTGAAATATACTTGTAAGATCATTCTCAAATGATCCTTTCATTCATGTTTTAAAGAGAAAATAGTGACGGGAGAGATGATGGTTTGAAAAGGAAGTGTGCAAACAGCAAAGTTCTTATGACCAACAGAACTATTCCAACCTTAATAATAAGTACTGATCCACCTCCACCTCTCCTTCTCTCTTCCTCTCTGGTTCTGGTCCGTAGTCATTCCTATCAAGGTGGTGCTTTGTTTTCATTTTTCTCAGTTTCAGGGTATAGAGCAGTATCCTCCACATGCCCTGCCGTCGCCCTGCTGCTGGTCCCCCAGACGGACCTTCTGGCCTTGGCCTTCACTCTCCCACAGCCCTGGAGTCTGGAGGATCTTCTCCACGAGCTCCTCAAAGGCACACTGGACTCCGTCTTTGGTCTTTGCACTTGCCTCTGTACAAAGACAACACCAGGATTTATGAGTTTAGTGAAAGAACAGCAGAGCTCCTTAAAAATGCTACAAAAAAACATCAGCAGAGGTACCACCTAGCTTTTAATCCCAAAACATCTTCCTTTTTAAAAATGGCACAACACTGATGACTAAGATTTAAAAAATGACCATGTGTTGATGAGAATATAAAGTATGACATGACTTCATTTGAGAATCAGGAGTGGGATGAAGACATCTTGACTGCAGATTAAAATCCATGACATCTTCTTGCCCAGCCCTTCTGAAAACCCCTCAATTTAGCCGCTCTAAAATGGAAACTCCACAGAAATGTTAACCTAATTTCCCGGAGAGGGGCAGATTGGAGATGAGAATCAGGAACACGTGTAGACATGGATTTGATAAATGAAAGCCTGCTAGATTTTAATCATAATGCACTTCTTCTGCAGTGGCTGCATCTTTCAGTGCAATGCTTATAGAAATCCCAAAGGAGCAAAATAAAAACACGACTTTCACTGAGTGATGTTTCGACTTGTTCCAAATATGCAATTTACAGTTCTGACTTTTAAGTAGAGTACAATAAGTTTTAATAACTTGAACTTCGATTTTATGGCTCTGTTAGTTTAAATGACCATGTCTGACCACGTCTCATCTGACTCTAACATGGACACTTACCAATAAAAAGCATAGAGTGTTTCCTCGCAAATTTCAAGCCTTCATTTCTGTCCACTTCATGATCGTCCTGAAAACCAAACACATTCTCTGTCATTTTCTCTATGTGGACCACAATACACACACGGTAAATAAATACTATGTTTAAACATTATATACGGCACAAGGGATGAACATTTGCAAAGCAACCTTGGCTGCTTTATTTTTTTCTCAAAACCATTTAACCACATTTAAGAAATACTGCATTTGAAAAGCAAATTAAACTGACTGAGACTGATTCAGTCTTCCACTGAATATGTTGTAAAAACAATCCAAGGTCTTTAAAGGAGATGGGCTAATGGAAAAGTGTATTCTGAACAAAGTAACTCACCATATCAATTTTGTTCCCGACCAGCATTTTCACAATGTCATTGCGTGTAGTGTAGGTTTCTAATTCATTCAGCCAGTTATCAAGCTTTGTAAAAGTGTCGCGCTTTGTGACGTCATAAACTGTGAAAGAGGAGGAGAAAGAGGAAGACCATCATTATGTTGAGTTAAGACAATCTAGACCTACTTGTTCGACAAAAGACAAAAATCTTGCGTACCGTTCATCTTATGGCATTTACACTTGGCATATTTATCAATACTGGCCCAGGGAAGTGCAGCGTTAAACTTGGAAATGTGATAAGTTGTCCATTGACTTCGGATTCTGCTCTAACAAAGTTTCCCCCTGAGACTCCAGAAGTGTTTTATGGCCTCAAACTTTTCATCCTTCCCTTCATCAGCATAGTGGTGAGTAGATAGAGATTGACTTTTCATTTTTCAGTGAACTATTCCTTGAAACTACTGTTCACATATTTGGCTTGAGTGAAATTCTAGGTCACCATAAGTACAAGCAAACATTAAATAAATAATGTCTGACAATATTACTGTGATGTAAGTAGGATTAGTATGAATAACAACATGAAAATATACTAAAGAAGAAACAGAAAGGTATGAAGAGATCTCTATGTCTGGAACAAAGAAATAAACATATAGCTTTTGAAGTCCAAATTGTTTACCCAGTATAACTCCTTGTGCACCACGGTAATAGCTGGGAGTCAGGGTGCGAAACCTTTCCTGTCCAGCTGTGTCCTGCAGAAGAGAAGGAAGCATGAGATTCCATGACCGTAAACTTTGGGATCAACAGATACATCAGCCCAGTCACAGCGTCCACACTCAACAGACTCTGTGACTGAGACATGTGTTCCTGATAAGTCTACAAAGTCTCAGAACTGTCTCACTGTGAACGGGACACTGTCCAAGGAAATACACAATTTGTATTGTTCTAATGCTAAAAACAGGGATAATCATGGATTTCGTTAAAAAAAAAAAAAATTTGATTTATGGAAGTACTGACAAAATCAAATTCACAAATAGTTCTTTTTCACATAAAGGAAGAGCTGTATTGATTTGCTTCGAACAAGTTTAACTGAACACTATACAATGTTAAAGTTCATTGTAGTTTTAGCCTTTCGACTCGCCTCAGATTAATTTACTGAGTGGTATCTGATTCCTCCTAAAGCTTTTTGAGCTCTTGCATCATCCTACATGCGCACACACACTGAAAGTTTGTTTTTTTCTTCCATTGCATTTTTCCGTTGATGTGATGTTTTAACATTTTTCATGTGATTTTGCCTGAACAATGTCGTCATCTTGTGGACAAACCCTGTACTTCACCATGTTTTTCCTGACACAAACAACACAGTGACATTAAGACTCCTCCTGTCTTACCCATATGGCGAGTTTTGCTTTGTTCCCATCTATAGCGAGTGTTTTCACCTTGAAGTCCACACCTGATCAGAGAGAAGACAGAGAAAACACTTAGACTAATCTTCTTTCCATGTCTATGTATAGAATATGTGTTTGTGCTGTGTGCGAGTGTAGAAAACCTATTGTGGCTGACTGCTCTGGATCAAACGTATCTTCTGTGAACCTCAGAAGGAGACTGTTGGAGAAAGACAGAGAACATGGAAATGAGCAGTGCATCAGGTGTTGTGAGTTGACTTGCAGCTGTGGCAAAGGTGTCAGGTGTGTGTG